TATTCTTTTTCTATTGTAGCATAATATTCCATAGTATTGTATGCCACAGTTAACTTATTTGTGTGGTTCTGAATTTTCATTATAGTTTATCCTACTTTGAAGGGTAAGTTGCGTAGAATTCTTTGTAGTAAAAATCATAAATTCCATTGATTTTAATGGAAAAAACTATGCATTTCTAAGCCCTCAATTAATATCCATTGTGCCACACCAAATATTGCTCCAATGGACACAGTTTACTTCCATAGTCAACATTTTATTACACAATCAACCATACCCCATGATTAATTAGCCTACAATATGGCTCCTTCTCTCATTCTGCATTTACTGATTGTGCATCTAAGATTTTGATATATTTGTTCATCTTACAAATAGTCACTGAGCACCTACTATGTGTCAAACACAGCTTAGGGTGCTGGGAAAATGGCGATAAACAAAAGAGAAATCCCTGCTCTCAAGGAAATTACCTCCTGGAAGACAGATAAGTAAGATAAGAAGACAGATAAGTAAGATATGAAGGGTGCTAGATAGTGGTCTGCCCCAAAGAGAAAAACATGAAGCAGAGAAGGTGCCTCACTGAGAAGGCTGTTGAATAAAGACTGGAAAGAGTGAAGGAGGAGCTTCGAGAGTGTCTGGAATAAAAGTAGTCCCAAGATGTTTTCTAGGACCAGATGAATTTTTCTGACAGAAAACTGGCCAGAGTCTTTTCTGACCTGCAGTTTATCATTTGGCTTCTTGTCCTTTATTACTTCTCAGCAGTGGGATTTCCCACCTCAAATCATATACTTTCCTCTAGTGGCTTCCCTGTAAGAGGCAAAGGTGGCCACAGTTTTCAGAGAGCAATGAATCACTCAACATATAAAGTTTAAAACATGAGAACGGGTTTGTAGGCTCCTCACTCTCTCCTGGGATTGGAGGCATTGGCAGGGAAGATGTGGTTAGCCCTCTCATGCGGAGATTGGGGAGCAATTTGTCTCTGCTTAAGGCCACAGGATAGAGAGAGAGGAGCCCAGCTACTGGGTGGAAGAGAACTCAACCTATGGGAAAATGAGCAAATTTTCTATTGATGGCCAGATATCTGCTTCTCCATGGGCTTTGTCTGGATGTAAAACTCAGCCTTTCTGATTATTAGTTGGATAGCCACAGGCACATTACTTCATCTCTGTGAGCTGCATTTTCCTCTGTGAAATGGGTATAATAAGAGAGGTTATTTCATAGGGTTGATATGGGGATTAAATGAAATCAAAGAGGTACAGTGCTTATATTAGGTGTCTGAAACATAGTTAGGCTCTCAGTCAGCAGATACGCCAACACTGTGCTGGCTCTGGCAGTTAGCATATGTACTACATAAGCCATCACCATCACCATTATCGTTTCCTGGTCTCAGCAGGGAATGGCACCAAGTTTGGGGTTAAAGAAGGCATTGTTTAGTACCTCATAGAACTTAGTGTTGAAGATTCAGCTTAAAAGCTGCCTAGACAAGTCTGTAATCTTCAAGGCAGGAAAAGCACTTTTAAAAAATGCTCTAAGAAGTAGGCAGAGAGTTCAGGATTTTCAGGAATGATGTTGATTTACAAATGGGCTTCCCTGGCATCAGAGCAGGGTGGGAGTGCGGGACAAAATGGAACCGTTTCAGAGCCATCAAAGGCACCTGTGAGACAGGATGCTGAGCTGCTATGACCACGACGCTGCTTGATATAAATGCCTGTGAAATGAGAGAGAAGCCTGCAGTGAAAACCACCCAGAGGCCAAAGAGCTCCTCGTGGCTTCATTCTGTGTCTCTTTAGTCCCAGTTTGTTCTCAGTTGCATGGAAACAACCAAAGCTGACAACCAAAGCTTTCAGCTACAAATCTAGCTCACAGCTTCAAGAGAGCTAAGCATATAAATCTCAGGGTTCAGATGTCTCTAAAAATAATACACTGCATTTTTCTTTTGTTGGGAGGCTCTGTGGAATAGTTTGAAATGCTCCTCAGGTCTGACCCAGGTTTGAATCCCAGCTCTGTTGTACTGTGTAACTCTGGACCAGCTGTGTAAACTCTCTGGACTTCATTGTTCTTGTTGGGGCAGTGGAGACTGAAACTATATTCACCTATAAGGTGACTATGGAGGTGAAATGGGAGAAAGTATATAAAAGACTCAGCACTGAACCCAGCACCTAGTAAATATATGTTATTATGATTGAAATCTCCTGGATGGATGATTTTCTAATAAATGAGGAGAGTATAAATGTAGAAAATGAGAAGGGAAACAAGACATAGAGAAAATTGGGGCAGACTGTTAAAAGCTAATTCTGGAAGCCAGGTACTTATGACTGTTAAAAAAAATCCTGAGAGAGGAAAAGAATAAAGCTGGCAAGGACTCAAAGGCACAAGCTTAGCTTTGCTTTTTGCCAAGGTTTCACCCATCTGGCCTTGGCTTCTCTGCTGGTTTTTCTTCCAAATAGCATCTGGGAAGCCCGGTGGTGGTGAAAGCCAGGGCAAGGAGATAGATCATCTCTAAATCACCCCAAATTTCCACACTCAGTGAAGGCATTTAAGAAATACACATATTATTCTTCTGCAGCACAGAAATTCCTTTGAGGCTAATAGAAGAGGCAGACCTGTCAGGTGAATCCAGCGACCACAGGCTGACATAATCCTATTGCTTTTTGGCTGACAGCTCATGCAGAGAAAAATCCTCTCTGATCCAGATAAAGGTAAATTTAGTTTAAATCCCAACACAAAAATCTAACCCTCTACGATCAGCATCTGGTCCCAGGCTATTATGATCTTGGACACCAGAAATAGCAGGAATTCTATCAATACATTTTTACTGTTTGGGTTGTAATAATTTAATCATTGCTAAGGGGGAAATGTTGAAAGGGTAGAATAATTCATTATTTTGGGGGGTCTAAGGACACAAATGAATACAATGGACAGATATGTCCTCAGAACTGTAGCAGACCATCTTGTATGGGTGAACATACAGAAGATGAACATAAAACTGCCTAAGGGATGAAATATCCAGAAAGATAAAACGCATGGTTAACCACATCATTTGTTTTCTTTTATGTGAAGAACGGCTGGTCTGAATCCACTCCTATGGCATTATGAATTCTGATCAACTACAAAACCAGACAAAATTGCAGTTCTAAGATGGATTTTCAGTATGATCTCTTGTGATGCGCCTTTAGAAACATGATAATTTTAAGAAACCAAGTTGAAGCCTGGATCTGAATATTAGAATGTAGGACATACTTCAGAGGAAGATCAAGGGGCAATTTTTACATTATACAAAAAGTAGCTTGACCCTGTAAAATAATTGCTTTTATGGAATTAAATGGCATTTGAAGTTATGTATTATCATCAACCCCATCTGTTCAGCACACACACACACACACACACACACACACACACACTTTTTTTCTTAAGAGAGCAATGTTTATATTGAATTTTTGCCAAATTGCTTCCCCGACCCTTGGTTTGCCTTTGTTTCTAACATGATCTCAGCACGGTCAGCCTTTGCAGAGGTGACTTTGGATATATGAGCTCCTCTGGGAGCTAGTTACTCCGAAGCACAAGGAAATTCTCCCTTTACTGCATTCAGGCCTTTACTAGGTATTCAGCCCTTTTTTTTTTTTTTTTGGTACCGGGGATTGAACCAGGACCTTGTGCTTGCCAGCCAGGCACAGCACCACAGAGCTAAACCCCACCCTATTTAGCCCTTTCTTTCAGCAACCTTGCCCCCTGGGGTGGGCCTGCCCAGCCATTCCCTTTGAAGTCTGCAGAGGGTACACATCCCTTGGGTCCGTGGTGGCAAACCTATGGCACATGTGCCACAGTGGGCTGTTTGTTAGCACTGAAAGCTCTCAAAGGTTCACCATCACTGCCTTAGGTGACGTTGCTGAGGGTGTGCACACCTCTGCTTATTCCTGCAACAGCCTCAGCTAGCTACACCACTCATCTAATGCTGAGTTGGATGTGCAGCCCAGTGTGAGACCCAGAGTAACTGGAGATTTCTGTTCTCAGTGGGATGCAATATGTCAGCTTAGGCTTATGCTTTAAGATTTGGGATTCAGTTTTGCCATTCAGATCTGTGTATATGAAAACTCCAAAGCAATTTTTCTTGAATGCATTTTACTTTGAATTTGAAATATGTTTTGGATGCTTTTTATTTAGTCAGGGACAGGCACGGGACTACAACCATTATTTAGACTAGAACTTTTTTACACTTGATGTAAGAGAAAAGTTGGCAGGCTTGTTTAGAATAATTGCATAGAAGGCAATGGACCCAATTTATGTAAAGAATTATTGAAAGAATACAAAACTTTCATGGTGATCCTGCTAAATCATTCAGTCACTAACTGACATTTGTCCAGGTATGGATTCTCTGCTTTGCTAGCTTTCAAAGCAGAGCAAAGGAGCAATTATTTAAAAGGGATGGTGAAAACTAGTATTGAAGAGAGAAATCCTGGAGAATGGATAAATATTGAGTGATTATTCTCTCCTAAATAATGTAATTCACAGACCTTGAACCAGGGAACCATTTCTCAGTCTGTGTCTGCACTTGGCAATCTTTGACATTATCATTAAAAGGTAAATGCACTGTCAGTAATATTAACTACATTTTAAAATAATTCTCTTATTCTTTTAAAAATTTCTACTTTATTTTATATTAAATATTTCCTATGCGGGGCTGGGGATTTAGCTCAGTGGTTCTGCCGCCTGCTGAGCAAGCACAAGGTCCCAAGTTCGATCCCTGGTACCAAAAAAAGAAATATTTCCTATGCACAAAGTGGGTGTAGTTAGGCTTAAGTCTAAGTCTGGGAATGTAGCTCCTTTGAAAATATGTGTTTCTCTTTCACATTTCTAGTTGATGCTAAAAAAAAGTGAGAAATTATAAATCGAATTCCTTTCCTCTGCTCTATACATAAAAATTCTAAAATGTAGGAAGGAGAAAGTGTAACATTTTCATCAATTAATCATCTCTAGACTTAATAACAGAAACACTTCAGGCAATCAGAAAAAGGAGAAAAGAAACATCTTTAATTGATTCCTCGGAGAATCTTATTTTTCCAAGTTGTAAAGAAACTGTTCTGATGTTTTCTATTTGGCTGTTTCAGAGATATACAAATGAAATACAGAACAAAGACAATGAAATGCTAATGAGAAGCAGGATGATTCTAAAATATCCCTATATGGTCTGTAGGGAACAAAAACAGTTGACTCTATGAGGGGAATAGAAGCAAACATAAACAAGGGATTTTTACCCTTGCAAAACTACAAGGTTCCTTTGCCTTGGAGAGAGCCACTGGGCCAGATTTCTTCTGACATTACAGATAGGGATGTCAGTGGCACTGTGGGACAGGAGCATCACACAGTGTCACCTGTCATGAGTGTGTGGGGCTCAGAAGTGTCCGTCGTGATGTCCCCGGACACAAGGAAGGCCTTCTGTGCAGCCTCCCAGATCAACACACCAGCCAGTCAACCACACATCAGTATTTTCTGTCTTTTGCCACCGGTGGGTGCAATCAGTGTAGTAGTAGATTTGTAAAATGCAGTCCTGGGTTTCTACTGTGTTGAAATCCCTCCCATTTTCCATTTCAATACTTACAAGCTTTGAAATTATGCCATCATGAGCTTATGATCATATGGAGTCAATTTTAAACTCAATATTCTTTAATATCCCTTTTTCATACATATTTTTACCCTGTATTTAAAGTTTGGGATTAAAAAGTTTAAGGAGGTTAGATAAACAGAATAAATTAAAGGGTAGGACATTTTAAAAAGCACCAATTTACCTTGTTCTCCAATGTTTTAAGATTTAGAAAATATGTTAGTATTTCAAAGTAAAACCCTCTTTCAGACTGTCTCACCTAGGGTGAGACTGGATTCCTTTACTGTGAGCACACAGTAGGTGCTCAATAAATGCTTGTTGCGGGAATGAATGATCATAAAGAGATACTTATGTTTCTCTTGTACCACAACAAATAAAATCTAAAAGTAGTGTTATTTTTGCCCATGACATTTAGGTAACAAAATGAAGTTCAGTATAAAAGTTGATGTGACATTTAAAGGTAGAAATTTAAGATTTAAAAAAATCTAGGGTCTGCCTATGAATTTCCAAATATAGCATGTTTGACCAGGAAAACAGACGTGAATATATGTGAATGAATTTTAGATTAAAGGAAACTTTCACTATAAACTGTGTAAGTTTAAATTAACATGAAGAAAACACAATTATTTGCAAAACCAACCATATATAGTAAGAAAAACGTCAATCCCCTTTAAACCTTCACTCTCAATACTGTTTGTGCAAAACTGCTTGTAGTGTTCTCAGATGGGTGCCTCGGGCTAGTTGCATCAGAAACATCCCCTTTAAGTTGCACACAGAAACACTGTGGCCTGCCATTGCCTTTAACTAGACGGCGTTGTACAAGGTCATGGCTGTGCTTTCAAACAACTGGTCTGGATGTGTGAGACCTGCAGAACAGGCAGCAGCAGCTGGAAGGCATCCTGGACATATGTCGTGCTATTGCTACCCTGTGAGAGGAAAAAATGTAGATGCAGGGTCATTTCTGTAGTTCAATCTTGACAATTCTCCCAGAATAGAGGGAACATTACCAAATTGGAACATTGTATCATTGGCGCTTATAGAAAACGTAAACACATTCTTTTAGATGGAGTATATCTAGCTCTTCGCTATCTGTATTAACAGAATTCACTCAAGATGAGTCAAACCATTTCTGTGAGCTTTTAAGGCACATCTGCGTATGTATATCCATGACTCAGAATGTCCAGTTTTATCTGTTCCTTTCCCAGATCAGTCCTACTGCCCTGAAAGCCTGGTATGCAGGGGATCGTGTTACAACCTATAGCAATATAAACAGAATGGTCTACAGAAAGCTAACTGGAGATAGTATTGTAAATTATTCAAGGCCAAATCCTTGAACACTGTTCCCCACCCATGCATATTGATACCTTTTGCTTGTATGGTTTATAATAGTCTGATATTACTATTTTTGCTCTGTGGTACATTTCTAAGCAGTATTAAACAAACAGCCCATTTAAAGTCTAGGATGGGCCTGGGGTTGTAGCTCAGTGGTAGAGCCCCTTGCCTAGCATGAGGAAGGCTCTGGTTTTGATCCCCAGAAGAGTAAAATAAATAATAAAATAAATCAGCTGCATGTGATGACACATGCCTATAATTCCAGTTACTTGGGAGGGAGGCAAGAGAACCCAGGTTCAAAGCCAGCCTGGGAAGCTTTGCAAGACTGTCTCAAAATAAAAACAAACAAACAAAAAGGGCTGAGGATGTAGCTCAGTGTGAAGACTTTGGGTTCAACCTCCAGTACTGCAATCAACCAATTAATCAATCAAGTTTCAGGTAACTAAAATGTGAAACTTTTTACTGGGGGAATAAATAAACCTTTGCCCTCATATTTGTGATGGCTGATGAGGTAATTAGTCTAATTAAACAGGTATTTTTAACTTCTAACTTCCAGGGTTTCCTCTTATGCATATCTGTCCCTCTGGACCTGTCTCTACAGCTCCTGTCCTTTCTGGTTGACTCCACTGCACCATGTGACAGTGGATTAGCTCTTGGTATTGTCACTCTGTTATGGTTGTCCTTGGGTAGCTTTCCTTAATAGTAAGGGATGATCCCCAAATACACTGCTATAAATATTTACATAGCCCTCTGAAAGTTTTGTCATTTCCAAATTTTGCCATTGACAGCTACTTGAGAAAGTAAAAACTACTGGATAGGCGTTGTCCATGTGTTGTCTCAGCTTGTGAACAACTTGTGGATTTGGTGGGTGCCAGTGGTACTGATATTTTGCCCACAGTGGAAGAGTTTCCTCTAACAACCACTGGTAGAATACAGTGCCCATGCTCCAAGATGAGAAGTCTCACTGGGCCTTTTTTCTTCTCTCTTCTATCACTATTAGCAAAGCCATACCATTGTTGGAGTAGCTTCACGTTAGAACTACAAAGTCCAGATGCGCAGGCTGGCCATGGAGTAAGCAGTCACAGGGGAAGGTACCCTTGTTATTGAATGGGCAGAGGCCACATTCTGTCACTTTTTGATAGCCCAGAGCTTAGACTCAGCTGAACAATAGGTTATTGTGAAGGGAGGGAAATGCCCATTTTAATGAAAATCACCACTGAGCAATAATCCCTCATTGCAGCCAATAAGCACAGTGTTAAATCTAGTGTCAAACTTGGCAACAGAAATCTACCTCGGCTGGAGGAAACAGTGACAGAAATAATGTGCAAGCTTAGTGTTTCTTTTTATAATCAGAAGTTCTTGAAAATTAGGTATTGTTTCACCAGAGGGTTTACAGCTGGTTGAGCTACACAAACGTACTCAGAAAACACGGCTGCTGATTAGATTTAGAAGTATTGCAATAACACTTGCTGCCTGGGAGAAAGAAAAACAAAAAGAAAAAAAAAATCTAGCACTCACATTTGCTTTGATTCAGAAATACCTTCTCTCCTGGGGCCACTTACCTCTAACAATACACTATTGATCATAGGGTTAAGGACCTCAGCCTTCTTGTTGCTCTGTGGAATCAAAAGTATGAAATTTACAGATTAGGGGCTCATAATGTAAGGCTTGCCACATAAAATGTGAGACACTAGCTTTGTTCAGGGATCTCTCAGAGAGGAAGGGGAACTGCAATGCTTACTATAGACCAGGCTTTGTATGTGGTGGCTCCCCTATGTGATTTCATTTAATTTCAACAGAAATCCTAACAGGCAGGCATGTACTATGATAACTTCAATTTCGAGGTAAGAAAATAGGTTGAGTAATTGTGTAAGGTCACAGTAGCTAGGAATGTACACTCAGATCTTTGCAACTATTTAAAGTTGTGGCAGGTCTGGGAGTAGTGTGATGTTAGGCTAAACTGTGCAAGTAGTAGGTTAGATTCTATCTCTACTTAAAAATTTTGATAACAGGGCCGGGGATTTAGCTCAGTGGCACTGCACCTTCCTCGCAAGCACAAGGTCCTGAGTTTGATCCCCAGTACCAAAAAACAAACAAACAAAAAAACAAACAAAAATTTTGATAATATATTGTGATAGTTTTTGCCTTTTTTATTTTAAAAATATCGCAGTAAGATACCTATTTAGCTTACTGAGTTGTTTTTCTAATTTCTTTTTTGGGCCTCCTCAATTTTGCAGATAGTTAAGACCCTTTACTTACCCTAATCTTAGCTCTGGTTTAGTCTTTTTCTTTTTTTCCTTTCTGCTTTAAATGCAAGCATGAATACATAGTTATAGGGGATCTTCCAGAATAGTAGCAAAATTAAACCATCTTTAAGTATAATTTGCAATCAGGTTTGTAGATCCAAGTTTGAAAAACAGGAGTATATGTAAAGTAAGAAGTTCAAAGTACAATATAAAGTAGGTGTTCAAAAACTGGGAGCTAATGTATCATTATCCTTATTTATGATGTTCGTTTTTTAATCAACAGTCTTCCCTATCTAAAATGTGCAACCTACTCTTAGGTAATAAATCATTAAAGGGACTGGAGAGAGGGGGCAATCTTAATGGGTGATTTCCATCATTATACCTGGAAGAGTTTATGGCAAACAAAAGCATATAAATTAAGTACATCTTCCCAGAGCAGCTTACTTTCATTGACATTACTCTACTAAAAGTAAAGTGATGTCTTACAGAGAAAACCATAATGGAATCTTGGGGGAAAAAAAGACTCCTTAAAACCCCAGTCATTTTAGTAAGTAACCAGAAAATCCATTATGGTATTTGGTTTCATGTTTATTTGATTATCAATAAACCTCTAAAATATAATCAAAATGAGGGCAATAAAATCATACTGGTTTTCAGAATCAATGAGATGTACAAGCAATTTAAATAGAGCCTGGAGAGCAATATACACTCATTAACTTCAAGTTATGAATAATGGCTGTTTTAGAGAACAGAAACAATGACTTGATACAAATGATTCATCATAGCACAAGATCAGGGGCATTGTTATGATGAGATGACATTTCAGTAAACCCTAATAGGGATGTAGCTTTTTCTTTCTATAAAATGATGTGTCTGTTCCTGACTTCGTGCATGCAGACATTTACATGCATGTGGGTTTATGTACAGATATAAGTTCAGGCACACACACACATCTGTTAGACCCTTGCTACACAAAATGTGGGCTATGGATCAGAAACATTCTGATCACCTGAGAGCTTATTGGCAATACAGGATTTCTGTCCTCATCCCAGATGTATTGAATCAGAATCTGGATTTTAACAAGATTTCCAAGTGATTTGTGTGCACATTCAGATATGAGAAACATTGTGCTGGAATACAATATGTTAAAAGGAAGGGAAAACAATGCTGTGAATATTGCCCACTAATGGAGATATACTAATGTTTAACATAATCACTAATGTTTAACATAAATCACACCAAATATAATACACACCCACATAAGTGGACACAGACACCCTCATCCCCAGGTAATCACAGGACACAAACCTGTCCTGTCCTGTCTGTCTGGTGCACCTGTGGGCAGCCCGTGCGAGTTGAGAGATTAACTGAGGGGCCTCAGTTTCCTCACCTCGTAAACTGTGGAACAAGCGAGGAGAGGGAAGAATAGAGGCTTGGGAACCCGGATTGCCAAGGACATCCCATTGTGATCAAGCCCTTACACCTCTCTGTAGACCTCGCATTTCCACCCAGTCCATGGGCACCGTGTAACTCAGACAATGCCAAGCACCTGAATGCATTTTATCCAGCCTAGCATATCAGGAGCTCCAGCTCCCCATCATTCTGCTGGTGCACAGTGAAGCTCTATTGATGAAGGCCTAAAATCAGACAAATAGATAGGCTGCTAATTTACCAAAGAGGAGCAGCACACTATGCTCCTTAACATGGTTATTAATTTCTTATTAACTGAGTCACTTACAGAAGTGTGGGGGACAGATATCTTTTGGGGTGACATGAGCTCCACAATGATTTCCTACTCCTTCTGAGAACTGCTCTTGGCCTAAGGAGTGGCGGAGGGTGCACTCTAGCAGTGACATAGGTCTGCATGATACAAGCCTATCCCTTGTCATTCTTGAATGGCAACAAGGTGGACCTCTGACCCATTCTGATGAACTTGTAAACCATCTCATTTAGGACACAGGAATGTGGGAATTGCTGTTATTGAGTCACATTAATAGCAACACGTTAGAGACAATGTACAAGAGCTTTGGTGCTGGGTCCCCACAGCTGTTCACAATCTCTCCATTGCCTTTCACAAACCCCTTTTCCATCTAAATCATTTACAAATTGTTTCTCTTGCTTCCTTTTATGGGTTGAATTGTGTTCCCAAAAAGGATACACTGAAGTCCTAACCCGCCACTTTCTCCTGGTGCGGGAGCTGCTGTGGGTGTAATCAGTTAAGGTGCAGTCACAGTGATGAGACTCTGACCCACTGTGGCTCTATCCTTAGAGAAGGAAAACCTGGACAGAGATGTGCACAGAGGGAAAATGATGTGAAGACACAAGGAGAAACCACCAGGTGAAGGTGGGGAGAGACTGCAGTCTTGTGGCCACAGCCAAGAACACCTTGGGCCACCAAAGCCAGAGGAAGCCAAGAAAGATCCAACCTTGGAGGCCTCAGAGGGAGAATGGCCCTGCCTATACCTTGATTTCAGACTCCACCACTGCAAGAGAATAAATTTCAGTCATTAATGCCACTCCATTTGTAGTACTTTGCTACAGTAGTCCTAGAAAATTATAAGCTTGCAACCAAAAAACCATGTAACTAAAGCAGTAAATAAACCCTGCTGTTATGCCAATTGCTAACAGTTTTTTGTTTTTTTTTTGGTTTCAGTTGAACTGCCACAATAGAGCAAAGAAACTTATCTTATGTGGCTTATAAAATAGACTAAGGTCAAGATTAAATGAGAATACCCAAATTAATTACTTTAATAGAGATGCTTGAAATATATACAGTTATGGCTTGTATCTAGATGTCTCCCCAAAGCATCATATGCTTGCAGATGGGGCTTTTCAGAGGTGGCTGGATCTAGGGTGAATATGGATTAAAGATGTGTGATCATTAAATTAGTCCACTGATTGGTTTAGCACAGTTCTGGGTGTGAAAATAGGAAGCTCCACTCTGGATATGGGTGGCACCAAACAATAGGCTTATAGACTGGATGCAATATAAAGGGAAAAGAAGGAAGGCTTTCTGCTTGCTGCTTTCTGCCTTCCCTGCCATTGACTGTTTCTCTTCTGCCATGCTGCCCTGCCTTCGAGCCAGCCAACTATGGACTGAAACCTCTACAAACTATGAGCTAAAATAAACCTTTCCTCCTTTAACTTTGGGTGTCAGGTATTTTTGTCTTAGCAATGAGAAAAGTAACAAAGATACATATGTGCATATACATATATGTTAATGGACAGAAGTTTCATTATACAATCACATTAAGTTAATGGATATAACCTTTATTTTGACACATTTTTTTAACAAATTAAAAAAAAATGAGAGCCTAGCAGAGTGGTGTAGACCTGTAATTCTTGCATTCTAGGAAGCTGAGGCAGGATTGCAAGTCTGAGCCCAGCCTCAGTAATCTAGTAACTTAGTGAGACCCTGTCTCAAAAAAGGCTGGAGGTGTACCTCAATGCAAAGGCCCCGGTTCAAACCCCAGTACCACAATAACAATAATAACACAAGGCTTATAACAGCCTGAAAACTCACCTCACCTAACATCTCAGGTGTCTGGAACAGGGGAGTCAAGGCCAGAGCACAGTCAGAGCAGAGCCCTGTGCAGCCTGTCATGAGAGCAGGCGCCCTTGGCCTGATTTTAGCATCTATCACGGCACAGCTGCTGATTCTGAAACTATCCAAAAAGGAACTGCACCCCCATAGCCCACTTCCCTCAGACAGATAAAAACATAATTTAGATTGTAATCTTACCCCAACCGTGGTTAAAGAATTTGTAAACTTCTTTGATAAGGAGGCCACTTCATTGCACATCGCGGTAGTTAACCTGAAGTAAGAAAAAAAGAGGGTCAAGGGTTTCAGGAATGTAAAAGAGTTACTGTCATAACTGATATTGATGCAGTATGACTCTAAAAGGGCAGCACATGAGTCGGAAGTGGCTCTACACAAAAGGACAGTCAGTTTTCCTCAACAATATTCTGTGATTCACAATCACAGTTTAATCAAATTCTGGGTTTCTTTCCATGCTTAATTAAAGAACAATCACCTAATTCATTTGACCTCTTTTTAGAATCAAAACTGTGTGCAGGAAAATACCAAGCTTGAGTTCCACCTCTACAGTGATATAAACTCTTGCCAAGCGGCTTTTCTCCAGATTATTGGTCATTTAAAATAATACTGGTACCAGGGATTTAGCTCAGTGGTACCACCCCTGCCTCAAAAGCTCCAGGTCGTGAGTTTGATCCCTGGTACCAAAAAAACCCCACCTGAATATTCATTAAGGCAGTATGTTAAGTACTTGTATGCCTAATCATATTGAATCTTTACAGTACCTCAGATTATTATTCCCATTTTACAGAGATGAAGAAACTGACAGCTATAAGAAGTAACTTGCCAAGGATATACAGAAAACTGTAGAGATGGGATTTAAACTTGAGTGACCCTCTATATTTTGGTTATGTTTTTCACTAGATGGCTCAAGATAAAGATCTTGAAGAATATGTTTTTAAATACTTATATCAAAAATTCCAAGTTTATTTTGGCCATTCTACTCTAAACACTTTACCCCAAGAAAATAAAGCAAGAGAGATACAAATATTTAACCAAAAACAAAAAACGAATTACATATTACATAAATTAGATAAATTGTTATTTTCTTAAAATAGTGTATACAACTTTTATGAATAGTGATTAAAATGCTATTAGAAAAATTATAACCCCAAGTTAAGAATCTTGTATGTCAAAAGATTTAATGTCAATAGAAGTAAGTTTTTTTTTACAAAATAAGGACCCTATATGAATAACTTATGTATCAGGTCTTATAATCTATATCCACCCATCCATCCCTCCATTCATCCATCCAGAAGTTTTCTGCAGAAACCATCAAGAGTAAGGCCAGGAGACTGCCCAAGTCTATTGTTGCTGGGGACCCCTGAAAAGCTATTGGAAATCTCTGGAGTAGGCTCCAGTCTCCTGCCCAGTGTATGATGCAGGCCTGTGAAATCAAACTAAGAGACAGAAAGCGGGGTGCCAGGATGACCAATGCCGGTGCAACTGACAAAGTTGCTGGCCAGTTCAAGCCACTGATTCTTATTGGTAGTCAACTGGAGTAAAGGTGAGCTACATGTAAGGATAGCACTACGTGTAAAGATGTGTGGTCTGTGTGGTTTTTATGGAAATTAATGTAAGTAAGGCTCGTAAAAGACCAGACAAAGCATTCTAGAATTAGAAACAGAATAGACAAAATATGGGTTGGGGATTTAGCTCAGTGGTGCTATGCTTGCCTGGCAAGCACAAGGTCCTGAGTTTGCTTCCCATACTGGAAAAAAAAAAAAAGAATGTAATTAGAATATTATCCTTCTAGTTAGAAGACTTTAGTTGTGAGAATGGAATTTGGGTGTGAGTTATTCTGACCTTGGTACGTAGGCTTTGGCAGGACTTATTTCTATAAACAAGCCAATTGTAGGATTAACTCTTCACAGCCTGTTTTGGGCATAATCAGTATTATGGCCCTCTGTACATTCTGTCTATGTTCTTGGGCAGATGGGTGGAGAGTGCTCATTGTACAGACAAATCAGGGGTTTGGTGCAGCTTCGTAAGGTCAGGACAATCAAGGGTGGGAATCAGAAAGGGGCTAAGAGCAAGGTCCTGCTTATGTACACTCAGGGACTTCTGAACTTCAGCCCTCCTCCTTCAAATTAGTGCAGCAAAGATAAAACAGTATCAAGTTGTTGTCCTCGATATTTTAAATTTATCCTTTCCTCTTCCTTCTATATGCTGAAGTAATTATATAATCTTTCTAAGAATACTATAGGGGTGGATCATGTGGATTTCTATAGAATCTTTGATTTCTACATGTTTAGATATGATAATCTAGAATAGATGACAAATCTTTACAAGTGAGAAAAAATACCATCAGCACAAACACACTAATCCTGAATTTTTGGAAGATACTTCAGCTAAATCTCTCTAATTTATCCTAACAATGCAGGAAATAATACGCAAATATTATTATTGACAAAGTGAATGAGAGTACAGAGATATGTATGTGGGTGTCCTCATTTATTTCCAGAGGGCTTCCATCAGATTTCCTGTGTCTCAATAATGAAAGGTTATTTGGACCTGTGCTAATTTTTTATACCATAATATACAGCCATGTACGTAAAGGTTCATGATTTATTCATGTTCATCTCCATATCAACTATTTTCCTAAGTGTGTGTGTGTATATATTTAAATATTTACTTATTTCACTAGATAGCCTAATAATAACAGCTGTGCTTTACTGAAGAACATAAAACATGACAACATATATGCACACACATGCAATCCACAGGGACCTGGCTTACGTTAGCCACCACCGTCACCTGAATGCTGAGCATGCAGAGCTGGGACAGGTCCCTGGGAATGGTGGAGGATATCTGCTTCCTTTTGTGCAGCTGAGGAGTCACATTCACGTCCCCTTTCTCTATTCATGTGATACACTGAAAATATAATTACCCTCAAAGGTCTGTACTTCTAAGACTTTGATCATTAAAATAAACACTTTCACAGCTTGAGTGACTTAGTGTGTCTTCCCTTCAATCTCTTCATCAATACTTCCTAGAATGTCTAGTTAATTATTCTTCTTGCTAACACAATGCATTTCTTTTTTTTTTTTTTGGTACTGGGGATCGAACTTGGGACCTTGTGCTTTTGAGCCAGGCGTCAGAACCACTGAGCTAAACCCTTGGCCACAATGCATTTCTTAAGGGAGTCCTTGTTTTTTAAGATGACCATAGAACATGTCTAGTGTGTGTGTGTGTGTGTGTGTGTGTGTGTGTGTGTGTGTGTGTACATGTATGTGCATGCTTATTTGAATGGCATATACTATAAATGTAAAATTGAAAAAATAAGAATTAAAACTGGCATTTACTTTGTCAGAACTTTTGCTTGATCCTCAGCTGGTTTCTCCTCTTCTTGTCCATGAAGAATTAATTCTGCAACTTTATGAAGCTGCTCAATACAACGCGCAGTGACTTCTGCCAGACTTTCAATGGACAGTATGTACACTTCCTGAAGTGAATACACACAAGAAAAGCATTCACTGAGCATGTTTTTTAAAAAGCCCTGTGACATTAAAACACAATATAATAATAATAATAATGATAATAATTTTTTATTGTGTTTTTAAGACAGGATCTTGCTTGTAGCCCAGCCTGGCCTCAAACTCACGATCCTTCTATCCTCCCTGCCGAGAGCAGGGATTGCTGATGTGCGCCACCACGACCAGCTTTAATTATTGCTATTTCTTTGGTGTTGGAACAAAGGCCAGGGCCATGGGTGTGCTCTGTGATTGCCAGTCCCTAAGTAATATAATACACAAAATACAAATAGAACATGAAGAAGCTTATGTAAAGATTATGGTAATGTCTAGAACTTTTCTTTTGTTTTTTTGGTTCCAGAGATCAAACTTGGGACCCTGCGCTTGCCGAGGCAGGTGGAGGAACCACTGAGCTAAACCCCCAGCCCCGTCTAGGACTTTTCCAAGTGGAATGCTGCCATAAAATGTAAGTTCTGCCAGGTCCCCAAGGATGTGAATTGTGTCCTCAGTTGTGTCTTCAGTAGTCACAGCCATGCTGGGCACACAACAGGCAGCTGCTAAAGAAGGGGTATAGTAGGGAGGCTGAATGAATAGACTTCAACACACATTTTTCCTTAGAGTGATCTAATTTAAAATGTTACTTTCTTTAATATTGAAATTCAACATAAGGTGCCATTATTGCAAACTACTTTTTTAAAAGTAAGGATATAAAAGGATATAAAGTATGCACACATAAATTTATTAAGCTACAGAATAAAAGCTACAGCAATGTTTTTGAAAAAAGCTTCAACTACCTTATTAATTATGGAGCATAAAGACATTTTATAGTAACAGATTTGCATATAAGATGGAGATTTCCTCTAAGGATACATCAATTATGTTCTTAAAGATCTTTTCTCCTTTAAATTATAATTGTAAAGCTATGGAGAAAAGCTACAAAGTCTATGTTAAGCCAGCAATTCTCTTGGCATAGAGAAATCTTAACATTTTTTACCTTCCTACTCATATTTTATAAAGAGGACAGAGTACAAATGAAAAAGGAATGGCCTTTCCTTGGTTAAAATTAGGCTGCTAATAAAATTAATATAATATTACTGCCCTTTTGGTGGAGAATCTTGAATAAATTTACCTCTATGGTCTTAGTTCTCTTTTCCTCCTTTTTGTCTTCTTGCAGGTCTTCAGTTTTCTCTTCCTTTTCTTCCATCTTAGTTTCCTCCTCTGACTCTTTGGCTACATCTACCGACACCAGGGTTTGAGCCTCTTCTATCCAGTCATGGGCTTTTTTCATGGCCTGCAATGGTCTCCAACCATTTATTGTGGGAACACAAAAACTAAATCATTCCAACTCCAAGGCTAGACTCATGTTGCTCTAAGCTGCCAAGGCAAACTCCTGTATGTTTAAAAAGTGAGGGGGTAATTCCTTAACTTCCGTAAAAGACAATCTTATTGGTAAAAATATAAAATAGGACAGGGGGACAGAATAGAAAATATGGAGAGAAATTTGCTGGGCCTGAGGACTTTAGAAGAACCATTTAAAATGATATTCAGAGAACAATGAAAATGACAGTCACATTGAAAAATCGATAGTATATTTTTCACTTTTCATAACCAACTATAAAAGAATAACAGTACTTTTTTCTATGTAGGTGAGAAATTTAGCCAGGGCCATGGTTAAAGCAAATTTCCTCATCTGATATGTCTCACAGAGCTCTTAATGTTTCATGAACTCAATAATGTATCATGCTTCGAAGATGAAAGATGGCCCCGCTCCTGTGATTCATGGCCTCCGGGGGCAGAGACAGGAGCTGCCAGAGAGACCTGGCACTGCTCTGTGACTAGTTTAATTTCGCACGAGTGCAGGTTAAGGAACCTGTGGCCCTAAAAACCATGGTTAAATTGAAGGTGCAGAAACCATCTTCCCTATCTGTTGTTTCCTGAATTTAAAAGGGCAGATTTGCCCATCTTTTAAGCAGCTTGCTTAAGTATAAGGTGTCTCTCAGCTTACGCTAAAAATGACTTTCTATCTTAAAGCACGGAAGCCAAAGTTTAACATGTTAGAGTGCTGGGTGGCAAGCTAACATCAAGCAGATCTGAGGAGAGAAAAATCTAACAAAACTGTGCTTGATGTATCCTCCTTTAGGGATAAAGGTCGACCCTGACTATGTAAATAAACCAGGGCAAACCTGCAGCCCTCACCTGCACCTCTCCGAGTGCTGGTGGCAGGTGCTGCAGGGAGACGGATGAGGCAATTTCCCACTGTTTAAGTCACTGCCCTGCTAGAATCTGTGACCCCCATCAGACACAAAGAAATTACTCATTTCAACACCTCACCACCTCACTCTGCCCTTTCCTTGCCCACCTTAATAAATGAAGCCTACGGAAGCCACTACTTGGTAAGAAAAAAAAGGGATGAGAGAGAGAGAGACAGACAGACAGACAGAGAGAGACAGAGAGAGGGGAGAGAGAGAGACAGAGAGGAGAGAGAGAGAAAGAGAGGTATCATTCAGCTTTGAGTAAGTAATGATCAATGTCTTAAGAAATCCAACAGCAAGACCTTGTACTAACCTGCAAAACACACTGCCGTATTATTAGAGGAACCCAGACTGCTAACACTGGATATTCTTGGACAGGATGTAGCATAGCTTCCAGGTGGGCGGAGATCTGAGAGGTTTTCCTGGCTGACGCCTCTCCCTGCGTAATTCTGACATATGTCTTTAAACTTAAAATGGGGGGGGAGCAGAATTTGAAAGAGCCCCTTGGTGATTCTGCACCCTTCAGCCTTCTATCCTGAAGATAACCACTATTTTACTACAGAGTTAAGTAACTTGTTCAAGGTCACAAGATAATTATTAGTAAACCTGCGACTACAATATCAGCCTCATGACACAGTCTGGCATGTTCTCTATCTTTGCATTTTATTATGTTGCCTTCTCAAATCTCAATTACTGACCTCAAACTCCTCTTCTCTCACCATGCCATAAGGGGTCTGGGGGTTTTGCATCTCATGTGGATCTCTGTAATTTTATGAGTGAGAGACTCCCCCACTCCACCCTTTGTAAAACCAGAAACTCAGACTCAGATGGTTCTGACCTTGTTGAGTTTGTCAGGCGTGGCCGCAACATGTAATTCAAAGAGAAGCTCTGTAAGCATGCGAGCAAACTCTTCTCCCTTTTCTTCTAAGCCTAGAAATAGAACATGACAGAAGTAAGAGCCATAATTTATTTCTCATCCTGCAGAGTGTGGAGCTCCCTGATGGACTAGCCTGCAGTTGGGGTGGGCTCGGTCAGGCTGTGGTAGTCCGCCCTATGGCTGCCAGTATGGTGTGAGAATGGATGTTGCTCACTGGCCATCAGCAGGGAGGCAGCAGACTGCTGCCAGGTGGAGGGCTGGGGAGGCCTTGGTGTGGGGCCTGTCGCGGACACTCCCAAGCTGGCCTAGAGGCAGTCAGAGGCCAGGAGGGACCCACATTGGATTGGATAAATGGATGAATGACCTCTGCTGGGCCTGAGAGACCTGGGACAGCACTGCATTTACTACAGAGCATTGTTATGCTGTGCACTGCAACCCTAATAATTCCCAGGTTGCCATTTTATGTCACAGAGCCTCAGTGCTGAGCAAGCAGAATTGGTCTCAATGGGGATTGTACTAGCTGATGTAACACCACCATCTCTCTGGAGAAACTTCTCCAGGTCTTCCAGGGCATCTGTCTGGTCCTACTTCTTTTTTTCCCCCAGCACAGGGAACTGAACCCAGGGCCTTTGCTCTGAGCTACATATCCAGCCTTTAAAAATATGTTTGTTTATATCCCCAGCCCTTTTTTATTTTCCAATTTTGAGACATGGTCTGGCTGAGTTGCTAAAATTGCCCAGACTGAGCTTGAACTTGGGATTGTCTTGCCTCAGCCTCCCAGAGTACTGAGATTACAGGTGTGTGACACCACACCAGGGTCTAAAATGCTTCCTAATGATCTGTCTTCTCTTCAGACTGGAAGCTCTCTAAGTGCAGAGAACAGTATTTGTTTGACTCAGTTCTAAATCTAGAGCATCTAACACAGTGCTTAAAACACAGTAATAAGTGCTAAAATGAATACCCACTGAATCAAAATAAATTACATAATATATAATGTCATAAAATTAAAACATTAATATTACTAGTGAGCAACAGAGATCTTTAAATGTTACAATCTTGTTGCTCTCATTTGTATCCATGAGATACAAATGCCATTTTAAACCTCTGGTGGGTGGGGTTAAAAGCACCATTAAATTTGGCTTGATTACATGACTTCCAATCGCTCTAAGAGGAAGATACTATAGTTTACGTCAGTGGGTGAAGGCAGTACCTTCAGTGGGACCACACCACATGAGAAATATTGTCTGGATAACTATTTTCAGTTTTATAGGTGAAATGGTTAATCGGCAGCTCAGAAAGATAGCTGGGGTAGCCTGTGGGTCTCTGTTCAAAACATTTGGTGTAGATCAGTTTATTACTACCTATCACTCATATTCTCAGGTGGGAGACAGGTTAATAAACAAAAGAGATGAGCAAAACTATGTCAAGTGATACTTTTTATGGAGAAGTATAAACCTAGGGAGAGGAACTGGGGTAGCTGGAGCTTAGGAATTTTAAACAGGAGGTGCTGTGGTTGGAATGTTTGTGTCCCCCAAATTCAAACAATGGCCAAAGGGCTGGTGTTAGGAGGTGGGGCTTTGGGGAGGTGGTTGTGTCATGAGCAGGGAGCCCTCATGAATGAGACCAGCCACCTTTGAAGAGACCCAAAGAGCTGGCTGGCTTCTTGCACCATGTGAGGTCACAGCCAGAGGGCACTGTCACCAGACACCACACCTGCAGCCCTTAGGTCTTGGACTTCTCAGCCTCCTGAACTGGGAAATAAGTTCCTGGTGTTTGTAAGCTACTCAGTCTATGGTGTTTTGTTACAGCAGCTGGAGCAGATTAAGGTAGGAGGGAAGCTGAGAAGGTGACATCTGTGCAATGACCTGGAGGAGGAGTGTGATGAGCCACCGATGGCAGGGGAGGAGCCTTCCAGCAGAGGCAGGGTCCAAGGGACTGGCCTGCAAGGTGCTTGGTGCTGCAGAGAGAGGGAGGTCGGCCTGAGGGTAGAGAGGTGCCTGTCTTTGCTCCTGAGTTAGCCACAAGGAGAGAAAGAATTTAACCCAAAGTGCTCTGACTGAGGCAGCTTCTGCAGCATTTAATCCAGTTCTCAGAGGGTGTTAAGACTTCTCGGAGGAGGTGGTGCAGAACACTGCCTTCAAGAATGAGAATGCATTACCCACGAAAAGGAGGGCTGAGGAGCTGGGGCGGGGCTTGAAAAGCTGGGAGTCTCTGTCTGCTGAAGGGACTGTCCCCCCACCCTCGTGGGCCAATGAGAGCAAGGACAGGCACACCTGGGCAGCACCAAGAGACATCACTGCCAAGCTGCCTACTCCTTGTCCGCCTGTATGAGGCAGTGCTGCAGGACAGAAACAGCGCTGGACAAGGACAGGCCTGGCTTCTATCCCAGCTCCCGCCTTTAGTGGCTCTGGGGCCTGGGACCTATCACAAGGCTGCCTCAGCTTCCATTTCCTCCTCTATAATTTGAGGATAATAAAACCCACCTGGCTCTTTAGAGTTGTTATAAGGACCAAATACTACAACAAACATCGAAGCGTTTTGCAAACGTGAACACTATGTAAATAAATTGTTATGTGCTGCAGATATAAACATAGGGAGATTAAACATATTTGGGAGGAATCAACACTAAATTAAACCACAAGTACTTTGGGTAGGTCCAGCTTTTAAGTATGCATTAATTCTATAAAACATATACCAACAACTTAGCAAATATTTTAGGAAAAAATCACAGAGAAAACTAGAAATAGGTTAAAAACAGATAATAATAAATGATGCAACAATGACTATTACTACAAAAGGCTATTGCTACAATTCTCAGTCTGTACACTTGGTCAGAAAGCTCTTCCCCAAGGCAATAAAAACAGAAAATGGTCTTTAAAAATCTCCTCACAGCCATAGTAAACCAAATCAGAGACCCATAGCAGTGTGATAAAATTACAGGCTGCTGGAAAGACAAACATACACATCACTTGCTAACATTATTCAATGCATGGGAGCCTGATATTAAACTGATCTAAAAATGACACTTTCTTACCCTTTCTGAGACTACTAAATAAATATTTAGTCATTAGAGATTTTTAGGAATGTAAATGCTCACAAGAAAAAAAATGCTCTGGTTTGTGCCAGAGTTTGGTTCCGGGATTTTTCTGCTCCACCCTGGCCACAATAAAATTTCTCTCTGGGCTGTTGGGCAACCCCTCAACCTTCCTCCATCCTAACTGGGTGGACTAAAGGGCAACACCTCTGTTCTTTGCTTCCAGTACTTCATTGTTTAAATGACATTTATTAAATTAAGTTAATTAAAATTAATAGTGTTTTGATAATCTGGAGATGCCCTCTGGGAAAATGGATATATAATGGGAGATAATAGAGTTTTGTCACTTAAAGAGCAACAAATCTACCACTTCTCAAAGCATGCTGTTTAGCACATCAATCTGTGTGTGCGCGCATGTACACAGACACACACACGGTATTAGAAAACTATCTCAATTACTGAAGCTTTGTACTACAATAGGAACACATCACCTGTAATAACATTTTCTATTTAACTGTATGGAATCAGGTTTCCTCTCCGAGGATAGCATCAGTTGGGAATGCGACATTGCTTCAACTTGCCTTGGCAACAATATCTTGACATTAGCGGGGTATTTGGGATCCTTTTATACCCTTTTTGAATGACACCTCAGAAGGACCAAGGTCTATCTCTGGCATCCCGAGCCTTGGAGAGGAATATCCTGATTGCTTTTTGGCAGTGGTTAGTCTGCCCAGGAAGGGCCTATTAACTTCTTTTTTTTGTACAGAATGGGAGCTGCATGACATTTGACAGCTAGTGGCTTAGTTTCTTCATTAAAAACCAAAAACAAGGGCTGGGGATTTAGCTCAGTGGTTCTGCCACCTGCCTTGCAAGTGCAAGGACCTGAGTTTGATCCCTAGTACCAAAAAAAAAAAGACAAGGCTGCCATCTTTGGAGATTTTTGTAGAAACACACAAATATGCTAAAAAAAAAAAAAAAAAGATTCTTTGATATTGGCCTTTTTTCTATGCTACAGCATAATTGATTCTTTTATTTTGATGCAATGAAGATAAATCTCATTAAGCTGAAAGCACATAAGGTCAGTATGTGGGGCTAAAGAGGGAAACTATATTTAAGTAACCATTTCTGAATGCTTAAGATAATTTTGCCCTAAAGATCAAGGCTCAAGCACGTAAACGTTGTGTTCAAGCTTTGCTTAACGGTATGTGACACACCTGGGGACAAGACACTTCCAATGACCCGACTTCATGAATGCACACATTATTACTCCATGTGGTACATAATAACAAGTACAATAATAAAAGCTGCAATTTATTACACCTTTACTATTTTCCTGGCATTGTGTCAGCATTTAAATAATAACAACAGCTAACATTGTTGAGTAGTTCTTTGTACCAGACACTGGACTATAGGTTTTTACATAGAGTACCTCACTGGGTCTCTAGAACAGCCCCTGGGAATATGTGTCATTGGCTCCATTACGGATGAAGATACTGAGTTTCAGAAAGGTTCTGTGACTTGTCCAAGGCCACTCACAGGAAAGTGGTGAAAATGTTTCCAATGGGGCCTTTAGATGTTCCCAGGAGAAGGCAGCCTGGTGCTCAAATTTTCAGCATAACCTATTTGAAGCAACTGTGGTGTGGTGCTTGGCTAAGACCTCAGTAAGAAATCACTCTCCATGGACACAACAAATGTTTGACTCTATTCTACTCCCAAGTGTGCATCCCAAAGGACCCATTAGGCATGCCCAACTTTGAGTCCATCTTCTCCTCTTAATGAAGCCTTGCTTCTCATGAAATAGGTTCTGATCTCCTTGAGGTCAGGTCACTATCTGGCAGAAGGTTTTCAGAAAGTGTGCGCTTGGGTCACTGCAGTGATTGTCAACCTGGCACATCACGTCCTGGTGCATTGTGGGAAAATGGCACAGCCTTTGCCAGAACTATATTTTTAATTTTTTTCATATTTTATTTGTATGGTGCCAGGGATTGAACCCAGGACCCCACACAGGATAGCCAAGTGCCCTGCCACTGAGCTGCACTCCTGGCCCAGAACTGTACTTTCTAGCTGAATTACAAGACACTTAAAAATATACCCTAGCTCTTACACAGGTGGGTTAAAAGGACTAAGAAAAATATGCAGAGAAATCCATTGCAGAACTTGCCTGCCATGAACATTAATCACATTAAACAATTTTCACGTGCAGATAAAATTAGACAGTGGCACACAAACTCTAACTGGGGCTCAGCACACTGCACTCTTTGTTCATTCAACCATATGCATTCAAAGCCTGCCTGGGACCTGCTGGGACTGTGGCAGATGCCAGGAAAGAACAGGAGGTCCTGCCCAGAGAAAGAGGGTGATAAACCAGTGTGCCCAGCTCTTGCAACCACAGCAGATGCACAGGGCTTTCAGGAGGCACACAGCAGGGGCTGCTGAGTTACGCGGTTTCTCCTGTCTTAAGGGCTGTGTTTATTAACAGCAGTCTCATAAGGATTATGCCAAATTTATCTTGCTATGTAACTTATTTTCTTTACCTTGTTCTTCTTGATTCTCTTCACCCTCTAATTCTTTGGCTGCAAAGATGTCTTTAATGGAAATTAGGTCATTTTTTAGGAGTTCCAATTTCTCTCCATCTAGTGATGCTAAAAATGACTGAACCTGAAAAAAAAAAAGAAATAGGCCAGCATAACCGTCATCTTTTCTGCTCACTAATAATGTTTGTGTACAGCTGTCCCCAGTTTTCCTGTGACCCAGGTGATCTGTGGGGTAATGCTGTGTTGAATGTGGACTTTAAAGCAGTTACATAAGCTCCTCGGTCTTACTTCAGGTTACATAAGCTTTCCCATTCTTGAAGAGAGATCCACACTTTCTTGTGATCCTTTGTGTGGTAAAAGAGATAATGAATAGGAAATACACTGCACAAGTGCACACTATGCTAAATAAACAGTGGTGGTAGCTCCTCTCTCAGAATAATTAAAAACACATTTTGACCTAACACTATGTTCAAATATCAGCTCCTCACTTAAGAATTATTGACCTTGGGTCATTTATTTAACCTTTTTATGGTACAAGTTTCTTTATCTGTGAAATGGGGACTAACTGCATCTACATTATAAGGTTGTTTTGGGGATTAAATAAAATATACTTAAAATATTTATAGCAATGCTAATTAAATTATATATACATGCATATATGTACACATATGTAAATAAACAGAGAAGTTGCATATCCACATGTGGATTTATGTGGATAGGATACTGAGGTTACAAAACTGGAGAAGACCCATTTTCATTTCCTGAGCTTGCAGTTTATAGGAGGGAGGCCCATGCCAGCTAATAATGCCATGACATCTGTGTGCGAAGGGCACAGTGGTGAGATGGAGGAGCTTGCAGGTGGCTCACCCTGAGGAGATGATGGTTGGACTGATGTCACCCCATCACTGTTTCCAGAATCTCTCTTTGGATACTCTCCTCTGGAAGCACTTAAAAATTATTTGTACAGATGGCCAGCCATTCTCTGCAGACTAATAAGAATTTCCCAAATGGCATAGAATACCATATTAAAAGTGAAACATAACTGGAAAGTAGTGTTTTTATTTTTTTCTTCATTCTGCAGGGCAAACTCTTGCAGCAGAGGAGCTGCAAGCCTCTTTGGCATATGTTTTAATATTCATCATGGGAGTGGCTTAGCACAGCAGGCTAAGAGAAGTAGTAGCCAGAACATCCAGGATGCAGGACTCCATTTTCCTGAAAGGCCATGCACATCTCTAAACATCATGCATTCTGCTCCAGGCTCTGGGGGGAAGGAGACTCGGCAGGGAGTCATGGACACAAAGTCCATTAGCAGTGGATTTCAACGGGAAGAAGCAAATGAGTCCTGCTTGATGGCTCTTGGCCGTTCCATCTGGCCTTGACCTTCTAAGCCTTCATTTCAGCAGCTTGCACACTCATGCTTCTTTCTAGTTCATTTCATTATTCCATGGACACATGCACTGAACCTTCAGATGAGTTCAAAAATAAATAATAGTGCACTCCTTCATAAATACTCCTGGATGCAGACTGCATACACAGTACTAGGCTACTTGCTGTTCAGGACATAAGGTAGCCAGTCTGCCTTATAAATCTTTTCCTTAAAATGTGTGGTGCCATTTTGATTTCTGTTTACTATTTTTAACACTGAGTTGTAGAGGTGTTGGCCAGAGGTATGTATGAGATGAATATGCAGAGGTATGGAACTTTTGAAACCACATGCCCCAAACCTCCTGGAACACATGGTTAGATTAAAAGATAGCCTACAGGGCCACAAGTCCAAGTAATTGTAAAAATGCATTGCCTTAAGGAATGAACGCCCTGGTCTTTGTCCTCCCTGTACTCTGATTTATCATTTACAGTGGACCCTTGATTTATAAAAGCAATTCATTCGAGAGAGATGGTTATAACTCAAGTTGGATGTAAATCAAGACTATTTTTCCCATAAGAAATAATGGAAATACCCATAATGCATTCTGAACCTCCCAAAGCACTGCTTAACTACCCTTTTCATAATAAAGGGTTGTATAATATGCATAATTTATCAGAAACACCAATAATTTTCCTAGTATATTCACCAAAAAGTTATAAAATATGTGTAGTTTACCAGAAATAACAATTTCATACTGTACTCACATTCAAGTTGATATCTTAGGCTTGCAGGGAGGGAGGATGAAATGAAAGGTGGCTATTGTTTGCAAGGAGAGCCCCCTTCCGTAAGAACATCAGGAATCTGGCTCTCTGGTGTCCTTTCTCTCCTTGGGAGAGTCTGTAGCTCACTAGGACTTGCTTCTGGCTCACTAGGTCTCAACTGGCATTCAGGTCGTAACTCAAGACTTTGGTCTTAAATTAAAACTAAAACTCCGGATTATATCACTTAATTTTAAAAATAATCCTATGAGGTAGATCTTACAATTATTTCCATTTCACAGATAAGGAGACTGAAGTAAGAGAAGTCCAACAATCTTACAGTTACAGAGTGATGTGTAATCACCCAGTTTCGGCAGGAAAATATTTGTGCTTCCAAGGAAAATGGCATATTTAGCACACATTTTACCAGATTATTGGATTCTGAAGCTCTGGCAGTGGTTTTGACACTGTGTAAATTGTGCATGGCTGATGGGAAAGTGAATCACTCTGCTCCTAAACATGTGACTGACTCTGTTGGGGCCAGACAACCTCCTGGTGATGGCGAAGTCAGGTTTGTGTTTGTCTCTGTGTTCATTTCAAAACTCTTGCACTCCATGTGAATTTGTGCTTCTCTGGCTTTTCCTTTGAATTAGTGATAACATCTTTCTGGTTTCCTTACTGAATTAATGAGCTAAGTAAATCTTTTAAGACGTGTTTGTTTTGTATCAGCACAAGAGTTATGATTTTGTCTTTTTACCCCCTAGTACTGAGGATTAAAGCCAGGGACACTCTACCACTGAATTACATCCTCAGCCCTTTTTATTTTTTATTTTGAGATGCCCAGGCTAAATTGCTCAGACTAGTCTTCATCTTGTGATCCTCCTGCCTTTGTAAAAAAAAAAATATCCATGGACAGTTTTAACTATCAGACTTTCACTAACGCTCATGGATGACCAAAAAGGAAATAAACACAGACAGTAACTTGGAGCCTAGTAACCCAGAGTGGGGAGAGTGTCCCCATCATTTTTGACTCCTGGTTGTCTGTTATGTGGCCATGGCGGTCTTTCCCAGATTAATCGGGTATCAAGAATGACTCAGTCTCCCCCAAATCCAAACGTAAGAGAGCAAGGTGTACAGAGCATTAAAAAAATTACTTTTTCAATCTCAGGCTCACTTCCAAGTTCAGGTTCCTGCCTGAGGACCTGTCTTTGCCCATGAATGTCACCAGGATGGCCCACAGCCCTTGTGGCCTCCCCTCAACAACCTCAGAGGACAACTAGGCTGACAGCCTCAAAAGAGAGCCATACATACAAGTGAATGAGTAGCAGTTTTATAGTATTTAGAATGGTAACTATGTGTCATGTGCCAAATAAAGACATAAACATACACACACATGCATGCATGCACACGCATCACTGTATATCCTAAAAAAATCACCTAAGCTGGGTGAGGTGGGGCACACCTGTGATCCCAGCACTGGGGGGATGGGCTGAGGCAGGAGGACTGCCACAAGTTTGAGGCCAGCTTGGTCTACATAGAGAGTTCAAGGCCAGCCTGAACTACATATAAGGAGACCCTGTCTCACCCTCATACACCCAAATCATCTAACAGGTGTGGTGGTACATGCCTGTAATCCCAGTAGCCTGGAAGGCCGAGGCAGGCAGATTACAAGTTTGAGTCCAGCCTGAGCAGTTTAGCAACTTAATGAGAGCCTGTCTCAAAAAACCAAACCAAAACAAAAAAACCAACCAACTAAATAAATAAATAACATTTTGATTTCCTGGGGCCACAGAATGGGAGTGTGACTCTGCAGGGTCATCAAAGAGGCTGGTTTTCCCAGGTGTCTACATAGGGTGCACTCCCTAATAGAACTTTAATTCTTAGTGGATTGTTCTTTGTGACTTCGATATCCTAACAAGATGGCCAAATAAATGACAATATAACTCATAAAACAAAATGCATCAAACACCCCCAATCTAAAGATGCACCAGCGGCTGTGTTTTCACTGGGTGGCATGGAGACATGGTCCGGGTACAATGTCGCCAAAGGCAGGCAGAGGGCCAGAAGCCCAGCGGCCATGTTTTAGAACAGCCATTTATAGCACGAGGGGCAGGGGTGGTGTCTCAACATGTGCTCAGCCCTCCTGGGGCTTTGGCGGAATACGAGCTTGGCACAGGATAAACACCAAATTAATTACATGAGCTTGAGGGCTCATTGGGTTGCACCGTACTTAAAACTTTAGCACAAGAATAATGAGGCTCTAAAAAAGCAGTACTTTCATGACTTTTCCTCGTTTCTTTCAGATTTAAGAAAACACACCATTGAAGGCACACTCTTGCAAATGACAATGAAGATGTACCTTGCTTTCGCTCTCATTGGACAGAATTTCCAGGGCTTCCAGGTGTGACAAACCTTGGTATTCATCAAACAGCATCCCATAGTGCGCAGTTCTCTCCACTGTGAGCTGCTGCGCCAGTCTCTGCTTCTCCTTCTCCTTGGCTTCCCTTAACATCTGCAGAAACATAGAAGTTGTACACAGACCTAGGCTTAGAGCCCCGCTTCCTGTGTCAGACACGGAGGAGCTGAGGAGGGCAGCACAGGGCTGACTTTGTAACTGGGAAAGGTAGCTTTTGGCCACTCTGGAGTTTGTTTCTAAAAAGTTATTTTTTGATTGATATCATGGATAATTTTTACATAATATTCCAATTTGTGGAATATTTCATTATGTAGAAAACAAAACTAAGCCAAATTTCTACGTCTAGGAATAACAGATTGGAAAGAACCTCACCAAAAGCTTCACTGTGGTTTCCACTTAAGAGTTTCCCACATGTGGTCGATTTTCTTATTTTCTACACTGTTCATATTTTCTATAATGAGCAAGTTTTAAGCATGCTTAGGAAGTCTAATCTCTTGTGACAGGATTAAATGCAAAATCTACACCTAGGCAGACTTCCAAGCATAAATAAACTAGTCTGATTTTCTGTTATGTTATCTTTAAACTTTTGTTCAATGAAAAAAATAAAAACTCATAATGGATTTATCACCAGATACTGAATATAAATAATCTAGTAGATGCTCAGATAGGTCTTCAGAAGTATGGCTGAATTGAATTCCTGTTCACATTAATAACGTTTCACCAGTTATTATTTTGTTGTTTAAAAAAAACAAAATGAACGCAAATTTATCAGTCAGTCCTAATTTTCTGTGCTTGCCTTCTTTGATTCTAAGAATCTTTAATTTGATTTCTCATTAAGTTTACTGGGGCATTAAGTTTATAGTGTCCTTTAATACCTGTGGTGAGCACCATAAATACTCTGGCCAACAACACAAGGACACACGGAAGATGTGAGAATAGAGTATAGAGCCTGGTGATTATCGCTTGCCAAGAAAACAATCAGCTTCCTTCTCCTTTTGGGTTTTTAAGGTTGTTAGCCAAGAAGCCACTGGGCTGCAGAAAGATTTCTCTCTTCTGTCTATCTTTAGGACTAAATTAGTGCAGCTCTGAATTTTAAAGTTTCCAAAACAACCTAATGAAACCATCTTTGGGAAGTTTTAACACTTGCAATAAAACTCAACTATCCACATTGATCTCAGGGCCTGGTAGTGGGAACATAAAAAAGCAAAATGACTCCGGGATCACTTCCTTTCTACACCAACTTACATCTCTAAATTTGTACTGGGGGACAGAGGAAAGAAGAGATGAAATGGAAAGTAAAGGAGAAACATCACTCCAGAGTGATTAGGATTCACTCAAAAAGTGGGGGGTGGAATTAAAAGATGCTGGTTCTATTTTCTCTCTGGAAAAGAAATGGAGATGGATCTAAATAGAGAGGAATTCTGGCGTGGAAGAATTCCTGCCACAGGGAAGCCGGGGAGGCTTACTTAAATCAGTGGAAACCAAGAGCCATGCAGTCCCTGTGTTATTTAGAGCATGTTCCCTGTAGTGCTGGGATAGACTCACAAATTTAGACAATGTGTGTATGAACATTTCGGGTTCCTATGGTCATGTTTCTGCTATAGTTGGGATCTGAAGTGTTCCCTAAAAGCTCATGAGTTAAAGGCTTGGTCATCAGCCCGTCTTGTTACTGGGAAGTGGTGGAACTTTTAGGAGGCAGGGCTTAGTGGAAGGAAGTAAGGTCACTGAGGGTGTACCCTCCAAGGAGATACTTGGAACCCTGGCCCCTTCCCCTCTCTTTGTTTCTTGGTTGCTTTAGGTGAGCAGCATCCACACCACATGCCTCCTGCAATGAGGCACTGCATAAAGCAATGGAACTAGCTACCCATGGACAGAAACCTCTTGAAACCATAAGCCAATATGACTCTTTCTCCTATTTATTTATTTAGCAGTACTAGGGATTGAACCTAGGGCCCTTGCACTGAGCTCTATCTCCAACTCTTTTTTATTTTCTGTATTTGAGACAGAGTCTTGCCCAGGCTGGGGTCAAACTTGTGATCTGCCTTTCCCCTTTTTAAATTCTTTGTCTCAGGTATTTTGTCAGTGTCAGAAAGCCGACTAACACAGTTTCTCTAGTCTGTAAGGGAAAAATACAGCAGATCTCCCTATCTTAGTTGACGGCAGCTTCACTCTTGCCCTTGCTCCAAAGACCGTGGAGCCATCCCTGACACTCCTTTTAACTCACAGCCCATACTTACTCCATCAGAAAATCGGGATCTGTTTTAAAATGATACTCAGGACCAGCCATTCATCGCCACCTACAGAGCCTCTATACTGTTCTGAGCATCCATACCTACTGTCTAGATTGCATCAACTGCTCCCTGGGGTGGGTGTGTGAGTGAGCCCTGTGGATGGACCTCTACTCCAGGGATCATAAGGATCATTGGCTCCAGCTGCTGGGCTTGGAAATCCAGCTGCGAGCCACTCGGCAACTGGGCATGGAGGCTGACCTGTTCCTGGGAGGCGGGGAGCTCTACTGCCAGCAGATTCTTTGGAAAAACAAAGAATACATAATAGTTGTACAGATTTACCAGGCACAACGTGATAATTTGATACATGTGTGTAAGTATAGTGATCAAATCAGGGACACTAGCGTATCTATCACCTCAAATATGTTTTGCTTCTTTGTGTTAGGATCCTGGGAACTCCCCTCTCCTAGCTCTTTGTAAAATCTGTATGTTGTGGTAAATGAGTTCCCCCTACTGTTGTCAGCAGACTTTGCCTGAAGGACTGCCAAGGCGTTGCCCAACCTTGCTTAGGCAGCACATCCTCTGGACACTCCCAGCTGTCTTCTCCCCTTTTTCCTTCACTGGCGTCAGACCTGCGTCTTGGTCTAATGGTTCTCCCAGCCGTTCTGAGTCCCTACCTGATTTCTTGCACATAGGCACCTCCCCTAGTAGCATCCTTTCATATCTCAGCCCATCCTGACATCTGTTTCTGAGAGGAACTAGAGCGACATATCATCTAATGGTCTCCCTGCCTGCATCTCTCCTTTTCCCCAGTCCATTTTCAACACAATAATTACAGCAATCCTTTTAAAGCACAAGTCAGTTCTGCTCATTCCTCTTAGGCAAATGCCACAACAGTTTCCCTCTTGGTTCTTCACCAGTGCGCTCCATGATCTGCGGTCGCCTGTGTTCATCACCACTCTGGCACATCCTTGACAGCTCTCATTCTGGCTCACTGCTTTTGAACCATGTGAAGGGCCTTTGTTGAGTTTCTCCCTCTCCCTGGAATGTGTTTCAACCAGGGTCTGCACGCTCAACCCTATCTTCCCCTTTGGGTCTTTGCTCAATGTCACTATCTCCATGAACGCCCCATCGTGTCTCTATTGTCCTCTCACCATCGTAGTCACTACTTCCCTTGTCCCTCCCTCCCACATCTTCCTGCTCTGTAGTTCTCATCATCTACTAAAATATTAGATAATGCTTATTATCTGTTTGTCTCCCCCAGAACAAAACCTCCTTAAAGATATGGATTTATAGTGCTTGGCACAGTGTAGACACTAAAATGCATTTGTGAAATGAGTAAATGAAGAATGAATGAAAATTTACTGTCTGGAAGGACGCAAAGTCGGTGGTGTTCCTGTAAAGTCAGGAGCGTTGTGGTGACCTGCTGACCCATTCGGGTGTGCTGAGTGTCCCGTGCCACACCTGCCACAACGGCTGAGATGTGAACAAACAGTGCAGGCTGCTACTGTGGTTCCTTAGTGACACATGTCTCTGAGCAGTGCACCTTTTAACAGCAGACTGAATGCGGATGTGATTAAAAATTGTGACGGTGTCGTCGCTTGCCTAGCAAGTGCAAGGACCCGAGTTTGATCCCTGGTACCAAAAAAACCAAACAAACAAACAGACAAACAAAAAAATTGTGAAGGTGAGCTGGGGATTTAGCTCAGTGGTTTTGCCGCCTGCTGTGCAAGTACAAGGACCTGAGTTCGATCCCCAGTACCAAAAAGAAAAAAAAAATTGTGAAGGTGGCACAAAAATTATGTCTACTTAGGAAACTAACCCAGTCCAATTTTTCATTTTACAGCCAAAAAGCCAAGGTTTGCCAGTTTGTGGACTCAGTCTCATTACCTTTTACGTCACCACTGTCTTAACTGAAATAAACTGAAATAAAATGTTCACATCCCTCTCAATATATGTATATACACACATTAGTGTTTGTATTAGGTTCTATTCTAAGAAACTCACTGAAGGCCATGGAATTAATAAGCGTAGAGCTGGAATACATACAATGGCATAAATAGAATAATCCTAAGAAATTACTGAATGAACGATGCAAAATACAAAACAATGTGATGAGTGTTTCCATTTGGTTGAAATAGCATGTCTATGCGCATATGCATATCTATCTGTACATTCATGTACTCAAGCATCTATATGTTCATGCACAGCTGCCTATATCTATTTGTATGAGAGCAAACATAAGAAATTCTTAACAGTGGCTGCCTCCCTTGAGGAATTAAGAGGCTGGGAAAAGGGGTATGTTAGAAACTCAATTTTTACTTTCTATTCTTTTGGTGCTATTTGAATTTGAACATGTGCTTTAAATGACCTATCCAAAAACAGATATAAAAGTCTATTTGTTTTCTTGACTAAAAGAAGAAAAATGTTGAAGTATATAGTTCAACCTGGGACAAAGAAACGGTTCTCTCCATGAGCGTCTTAGTCCGCTTAAACCCTGGGTCACTTTCTGCAAGGACATTCATGGTTTTCTTGCCGATGAATTCCAAAGCATCAAGGCCTCCTGTTAGGACGCTTTTGCCCTGCAGGTGAGACAATTGCATGAGATTAGTTTTTCTACATTTTGCTGTTTTGCAGCAGTCAGCAACTCCTAAGTAACTGGCACTATCTTCAAATATTAAAATCAATATAAAGTCACATTTTTTTCTCATCAAGAGATTTATAATCCATTTAATCCTATTTTCTTTTCCCTGGAAAATCATGTTATATAATTTGTAGGTTATGCAGCGATATTAAAAAATGATGCTTAGGAAAACCAAAGCACATTAGGGATTAATTTTAGTGGCTTTCTGCAGATGAATAGATATGTATGTAAGATATAAAATTAACAAACCCCCAACTGGTATTTTTGTTTTAAAAAATTTTAACCTAAGTAAGAGAATTACTTGGATCAGTTTATTAAAAATGTCGAACACTCCTGCAATTTAGGAAATCTTTTAATCTAGAACCCTAGAGTATAGGACCCTCAGGCTGTTTCAGTTGGCTCTTGTATATTTTCAGAAACAAGCAAGAACTGACAATTAATATATTAATGAAATAAGACAGCTCGATTTCCATGTTATGTTATACAGTTATCACTCTGAAAATCCCATTGTCAAGCCCTGTTTCTTTTAAAAAAAACTAAAACAAGATTTATGTAATCTGTATAAGGGAACAGAACTGGATCATTTCTTTAAAACTGCCTCTGTACGTAGGCCCCAACAGTGTCACTGTGATTATAATATGCACTATTCTGTATTTCCCCCCATCTTATGTGAAAATTATACATATATGTTTTTAAAATTAATTTATTTTTTTTTGTACCAGGGATTGAACGCAGGACCTTGTGCTTGCAAGGCAGGTGGCGGCACCACTGAGCTAAATCCCCAGCCTAATATTTTATTTTTACATTATTATCTACATATATTTTCCAATCTTCATAATTAACATTTAAGTAGCAACATTCAACTTTACTGAATATATTTTATTAATCATCTCCATCTTGAACATTCAGACTTTTATTCAGATATGGGAGCCAATCAAAAATCATGCTATAAAACAGATTTTAAAATGCACAGCTGGGAGTGGTGGTGTATTCATGTAATCCCAGCATTCTGGAAGGCTAGGCAGGAGAATCGTAAGTTCAAACCCACCCTTGGCAATTTAGTGACTTACTGGGAGCTTATCTCAAAATATAAAAAAAGGAGGGGGCTGGAGATGGAGGTCATTCCAAAAGCCCTGGGTCCAATCTCCAGTACTGGGGAGAAGAAAAGGAGGCAGACATTTATCAGTTAAAAAAGAAAGAAACCTGGGCTGGTGGTGTGGCTAAGTTGTAGACCACTTGCCTAGCATCTGCGTGCAAGGCCCTGACTTTCTGACCACAAAACAACAATAAAAAAAATTCAACTTAAACTAAAATAAATAACAAAAAGAGAGAAGCAGGGACCTGAGGGATTAATTTTAGCATTATTCAAGGAAGGGAGAGAGTGGGAATTAGAACATAGGAATGGGGAAGGAATGTGGATCCTAGTTACCTGGAAATGTTTCAGAAACATTTTGGGCCGCTACCCCGGACACACTGCTGGTCCTTTTTCATTTGAATGATTTTATTTTATTTTTTTAAATTGAGGGTTCAAGAGCTAGACCATCCAGAAGAAACAGCTGTCTCAGCTCTTCCAGAGGGTATTCTCTCCCCCAACCAGGAACTGTCCTTATAGCAGTTGGAAAAGATAGTGTTAAAAGAGGTTGAAAAATGTACTTTCTAAACAGCTCTTTTCTTTTAAACACAAACTGTATTTCATGTTGCCCTTATTATTTTGGATCCAAGGTTACACCTACTCTGCAGGAGAAAGTATACCAAAACCATAATCCAAGGCCATCTTTTCTCTGATGTATTTAGGTCACTGGCAAACAGAGACATCAAAAGAAGGGAGACACAAGGGATAACAGGAAGCAGCTTGCGACTCACAGTGTTCTGAACCACATTGGTTAGGGCGGAGAGCATGCCCCGAGAGCCAGAGCCCACTGGAGGAGAGGTGGGGGTGCTTCCTGCAGGGTTTTGATCTGCGGCCACATCTGCAATGTGAAAATAAATCCTGTTAGAGTTCATGTCGTTGATGCGAACTTAGGAACCATCTGAATGTGCACACAGTGCAATGGAGCCAAGAACATCCAAGGTCAACACCGCACTCACTTTCGGGAACTCCGTTTTCAGCATCAGGTTGGGCGCCTTCAGACGATCTGGAATTTACACTGTGAATCCGTAGGGTGGCCCCGGCTTTTTCCTTGACTGCTGTCAATCTATGACCTGTCAGAATTAAATATAGGGTTGATATACATTAGAAATCCATGGGCCGGGCTGGGGGTGTAGCTCAGTGGTGGTGCGCTTGTCTACCATGCTGGAGACCCTAGTTAGATTACTAGAAAAACAAAAAAGAAAAGATAAAAATCCATGACCTGCAAATTCTCTGGTTGATCTTACAAAGCTATGTGAAGTTGCAGATGTTCATCCTGATTTTGACTGAGCGAAAGTAGTTAAAGCAGAGACTTTGGATGGTTGAGCGACCTAAAAACGTTACCTTGTCTCTCTGTGAGTATTTTCTCGCTGGGTTTCTGTGAGGAGGAAATAAGATAAATACAAGGAATGATTGGAAGACATGGTGAATGTTTAAATATAAAAAGCTTATTACAGTAAAAGACACATGGGCAAGAATGATGAGATAAGTGTGTTCAAAGTGAGAGAGAGTATTTTGAGGGGGACTAATGGCAATGTGTCTATTACTGTAATACATTTTTAAAAACATTGTGTGTTTTAAAAATCACACCTCACATATACAAAGTGCTCCCAGATGTTTTATTGTTCTCTTTTGCTTCTTACAGTGTTCGGCTCTTAACCTAGGATTCCAAACTCAAGACAGTATCTTTGAACAGTGTGCCTGTCTTACCCTGTTGACTCTGTTGGTACCTTACAGCAGATACATGTCACTCAGTTTTTGGTTGCTTGCAGGCCTAGCACATTTGTATATGTTCAATTAGTACTGGCTGACCTGAAATCAGCTGAGCCCCAATGTTCTCCTAAGTGTCAGTCCAAAGGCTCTGAGCTAACATCCCCATATCAAAAGGCAAGTTAATGAAAATGAGAAAGGCCACCAACAGCTAACAAATTGTCTTAGGCAGTAGTGGTCCAAGTCAGGCTGAAGGGCACAGATCTTACTTCATCCGAGCAGGGTAATACCTGTGTCCCTCAGAGCCCAGCACAGTGGGGATTCAGTACCCATGGGTGAATGCAGAGCGGACCTTCCCACTCACACTGAACAAAATCCAACACTGACTTGAAAGAGCAATTGTCTTGTCTGTATTTTGTTCTGGAGAGGTGTTCCTCTCCTTTCGGTTCCCTGATGGGATGGAGCCTTTCTGAATCCCAGCCCTGATGAAGGAATGAACAGTCTCTGCCTGGCCCTGGTGGCTGTGTGAGCTCTGAAGGGGACACAGCATAGCTGGCTGCAAAATAGTGCTCACCACCCACCTCAGCACACAGGCAGAAAGAGGGTTTTCTCCAGGGACCCCAGGTTGTTAAACACAAGGCTGCAGCAATGTTATTATGTGGGAGAAATCCCAAGTCACAGCAGGATTCAAGGGCTCTATAAAAATCACATAGAATCAGAATGCACCTAAAATGACCAGCTGCCTACATCTTAAATAAAATAAAGACATGGATGAATTCTAAACCCAGGGTAATTAATATTTCAATTGTAACCTTATTCATCAGAGAAATCTTAATACAAATAAAGCACTGTTACCAATTATATCCAGTGAAAATTACCTGTCACTATACATTACCTAGAAACCTGTGAGACTTAAGAAACATTATTTACAACTTTAATTACAAGTAGAAATATGTTTATACTTATCTGAAGGTCAATGGACACAGTTCGAACTCATGACTGAGTTCCTTGAAAAAAGAAACTGCTAAACCTAAGACTTGAATGAATTCTGTCTGGCTTCCAATGAATTCCAAGCATTTTAGTGAAAACTTATGAAGTTTCAGTAACACATTTAAGTTATAGGACATGATCATCTCATTCATTTACATACTGAATCCACATTCCTTAACATTTTTAGAAAGCATATGTACTTTCAAAAGGGAAAATGTACATCCAAATCTCAACCCACGATTTTCATTTAGATTCCTGAGAGCCCAAATCAAGGAATAAATGAGTTCGAGGAGGCTGGGAGGCTCCATTTGCTTTAAGCCATCAGAAAGGTGACTGCACCTCCCTCCCCGGAACCATTTCAAAGTTTAATTAACCTCATAGTCATCATCTCCCTCTTTCACCTTCTCCACTCCTAGCAACAGAGGGTCATGTCTGGTTCTCTGCAGGATGAACAGCTTCTCACCATCTCAGAACACCAATGGTCATGAATATCTACGTATAAGCTGCTTCTGGAAAAATCACTCTGTTCATAGAAGGAAATACCATTTTAATGTGCATAGAAGTGGAGTGTGTCTTTTTTACAGAGAAATAGGCTGCTACTACAACAGTATTTGCCAATTAACATTTCTTTTTCTAAATGTTTTTGTTAGTAAAAGTACATCTTTATTGTACTCTACTAGAAATATTAAATTCAGTTTGGTCATTTTTCATAGCTAAGGTTTGGATGCTAATGCCACACCCTACTTTGAAGAGTAACTTCTAAAACTTTACTTAGTGTGACATCTAGTGCTCAGAACAAGGAAACAGTAATATAGAGTCACGCTAACTTTTGACTGGGAGTGACTCATTTCAGGGAAATTGAACTCTACTAGGAGGAGAAAAATAATAAATCTGAGTAATACTCTAGGGTATAGTTTATAAAGTTTCTTCATGTTATCTCAAACCTTAAGCACCCCAGAGAATGAAACCCCTTTTAATTTCACAGACTAAAGACGGAGCAGCCTCTCCTTTTCTTCTTGCAGTAAAATGTGAGTATTGCAAAGAAGTATAAGAATGTTGTACAAATGCTATGACACTATGGCATTTTTAAACAAATGTTAAAAAAAACCCCAAAAAACCAAATGTTAAATAACTGGCTGATGTTTTATTTATCACCTGTACTCTAACAGAAAATGACCTAAACTCAGAAGTCTGGAATCTTGTGGAGGAATTCTGGTTACACTGTTCATTAGTTGTGTAGTGTTGGTGAGCTCGTTAACCTCTGTCTAGACATTCAGTCTCCAAAACCATGTGCTAAATAAACTTCTTTTCTTTATAAGTTATCCAGCCTCTGGTATTTTGTTATAGTAATGAAAAACAGAATCTATCTTCTATTTTAGCAACTTAATATAAATGAAATGCAACTTTCTTTTTTTTTTTTTTAGTACCGGGGATCGAACTCGTGTCTTTGTGCTTGCGCAGCAGGCAGCAAAACCACTGAGCTAAATTCCCGGCCTTCAACTTTCATTTTTAAATAAAAATTACAATACCATTTTTGAAAATGCAAATGTGATTCACACTATGAGAGAGAATGAGTTAAACAGCAAATATTAGATAATTATTTCTTTACTTGTCAATATGAATTTTTATTAACACGCATTTGTCAAACTCTGTACAAACCAAAACATTCCTGTGTTTTAAAATGTCCATTATTATAAACATACAAAGAAACAAAAGGTGTTACCAAAATTTACTCAATTTTATGGTAAAGAGTGTCATGATTTTTAAAAACCAAATTTTAAGACTGAGTTTTCTTTTTTCCTTTTAAGAACTTATGGAAAGTTAGAAAATGTGTGTGTTTGCTTTATATTAAATGCCAAGCCATTAAAAAAGCTTTGCTCAGTGGTTTTGCCGCCTGCTGCGCAAGTGCAAGGACCAGAGTTCAATCCCCGGTACCAAAAAAACCCCCCAAAAACTAAATGTGTTTTTTATATTGTCATAGTTCACATAAAAGAATTTCTCAGTCTTTAAAATTTAGAAAAAATCATGACTGTCATTTTTTTTCACAATCTTTTCCCAATGCAAATGTATATGAAAAATATTATCTGACAATTTTATCTTTACCTAAAAGTTTCTCATTCAAAAAGTTACAGAACTATTTAGCACTGTAATTTCTCTTGCTTAGAAGGAAAAAAATTACATCCCCTACTAACTGATATATAAACAACATGGTCCATTGCATCAGAAGGAAGGCATCCATTTTGTATCTTTGTCCAATTAGATGCATGGCTCCATTTAATGCTATTTTAAGTTACAGAACATTTGCTTTTAACAAGTTAAATTTACTGCTACAGTTTTGGTAGACTGAGGTGCAAATGTCATCTGCCCTCATGATTACCTTTAATCCCCCTTGCATTAATGACTCCAGGATACTTAGTTCTGTCCTGTTTCATGGCACATACTACACATCCCTAATTTCTTTCAGAAACATCACATTAAGGACCTGAGAGTATGGCTAACAATGCAAATGTATCCCCTTTCCTGGAAAAGTAAATCCACATGCCTATTGGGTGAAGAGAAACACAGCACACCCGACTCTGGCCAAAGCCACCTAGTCTCTAAGAAGCACCTATTTCCCATATATTTCCACTGTACAGGAAGTGTACAGGCTGGGGTGGGTGCAGAGGAGTGGAAAGAAGGTACTGTGACATCATTTCTCCCAGTAAGACCCACAGCCTATTCTTCAGTAGCTTGTACTGACCCCAGAAATGCTCTATAGTTCAAAGACCCCATCTTGTTTGTTTTTTCATTACTGAGGATTGAACACAGTACCTTTGCACTGAGCTATGCCCCCTGTCCAAGACCCTATTTTGAATCTGCTCATGTAAAAAGAGTTTTCTGACAATAACTCAGTATGACAACGATAAGAAGGTAAAGGGTATTAAAAAACAAAAAGAAGTGGCAGTGTGAGAATTTAAAATCCATCATGTAAAAGAATAAGGAAAGGGGTGGGGGAGGGAATTGTCCAGTAGAACCTGGACAACCATTCTTTCTGCCCTTACTTAAAAAGAAGACTGGCCCAGCACCTGGAAGGAAGCTCCTCCACCGCCATCCCAGGCTCCTAGGGCAGTGAAGCTCAGCTGGTCTCAGCACCCAGAAGGAAGCTCCCCGCCTCCATTCCAGGCTCCTAGGGCAGAGAGGGTGAGCCGGTCCCAGCACCTGGAAGGAAGCTCCCCC